AACTGAGTCAAATGCCTTTTTCATGTCTTGCAAAAGTATCCATGCTTCTTTATTTTTCTCTTGTGCTTCTTCCATTATCATATTTAGTATATATATTGGTTGCTCTGTTGAATCACTAGGCAAACCTGCATAGTTTGGCCCTTTGAGTATTTGTCTCTTTATAAATATCTTGGCCAACCTTTTTGTTACCACCTTTGTAACTAATTTCCTAAAGGTCTCAATTAGTGCTATTGGTCTAATATTGTTCAGATTGTATTCCCGGTCTACATTTTTTGAAATTGAATAGACTTGTGCTATTTTCTACTTCTTCAGCATTTCATCTGTTTCTATAACCAGGTTTGCAAAAGCTCTAAAAATCATCTGTAATTTTTTTCCTACTTGTTTTATTAAAGTGTAACTTATGCCTAAGGTTCCTGAAGCTGTATTGGCTTTGAGTTCTCTTAGATTATCTTCTTATTCTTCTTCTATTTTCTCTTTTAGCTTTTTATACTAGGATTCATGAATTCATGTTTTTGAATTATATATTTCTTTTCATTTCTCTAACATTTCTTCTAGCTTGGTTTTTCATTTTCTAAATTGGTTTTTAAAATGCTTTGTTAGACTGTTTAGGACAGCCTCAGGTTCTGTTGTTAGATTTGCTTCCTCTTTATTTTGAATTATGAATATGTTAAGAATTATCTTTTTATATGGCTTATTCAACAGGCTAGCAATTATTCATCTTTGATCAGTTTTGATTATCTCACATCTTTTGTTTATATTTTCTTTTATTTGTTTTTTTTGTACTTGTTCTCACTCCTCTTTTCTTCTATCTTTCAAGATCCTTTGCTAGCCTTTTATATCATCTAACTAGCTTCTGACTATTGTTTATGTAACTTTGGCAGCACTACTTTGCCAATGTTCTTAAGCTTATTGTTTATTTCTTCTTTTTCTTTTTCCTCTGTTATTTGGTTTCTTCTCATTTTTGCCTTTTTTATTATTTGTTGTAGTACCATTATGTGTCTGCATTGCTGTGACTTCTTTTGACAATGCTTTCTGTTTGATTTTGTATTAAATATCTTCTTTTTTGGTATTCATTTATTTGCTACTTCTATTATGGCTTCTTCTATTGCATTCCACATATAGTTTAATGTATTTGTGCAATACATATTGCTAGACCTATCCTCCTCTAGTTGTTTCAGCACTTTCTTTTACTCTAATTGTATTTGAAGCTCTATAGCATATTCTTCCCAATCTTCTTGTTTTGCTTCCTCATATAAGTATATTGTTCTTATTTGGTCTTTGTATTTAATCTTTGCACAGCTATGGTTCATGATTACATGCTCTATCCACATGTTTGTTGTTAGTATCTTGTGGTTACTGTCCATTATGCTTTCTGCCTCTTCTATGTTGGCTTCCTGAAGGCTGGCTGCAAGTGTTTCTAATAGTCAGATATAGTCAATTCTTGTTGCTGCTTTTTGACTTGATTACATATATGCTCTTTTTGTTAAATGCAAGCTTCTAAAAGAATCTGTAAAATCTTGCTTTTTAAGCCAATTAAAAATTTGTAGTCTTTTGTATTCTGTTGTTTGTAGATTTAGTCTGTTTAGTACATTGTCCACTATATAATTGAAATCTCCAAGTATAATTACTTCTGTGCTTTTTCTTCTATTTAATACTATTTCTATGATTTTTTGCTGTATCTTCTTACTGATCATTTTGTCATTTGGTGGAATATACACACCTACTATTATCAGTACTAATTGTTTGAAGTATAGTCTTACTTCTATCATGTATTCACTAAATTTTTTAACTGCTCTGATGTGTTTTTCCCAAGTTTCATCTATTAAAATTCCAATACCTGATCCTTTCTTCTTGCTCAAAACAGCATTTGCCCAATAATCCTTAAATCTTGTATTAAGGTTATATAACAGAATTTTTTCTTCTTTTTCTGTAATGTTTGTTTCTGTTATGTCCAAAATTGCTGTTTCTTCTTCTTCTGCCCAACCTAGCAGGTTTTCTAGTTTCCAACCTCTAGTCTTAAGTCCATTAACATTGTGACAAGCTATTTTTATTTCTTTTCTTCCTTTTTTCTATGCTTCTTTTAAACTCTTGTATCTTGTCTCTGCATTTTCTGCTTTCTCTTTTCCTTTTCTTTTTATTTCTTTCTTTGGATTAGAAAACTTGTCTCTACTTCTTTCTTCGAAAACTCTTCTTTCACTATACAAAAATTTTCTAATCTCCTCATCCATGTTTGTGGGTTCAACTAAGGCACTCTTTGGAGCAATTTGCTAGACTGTTTCTAGCTATATCTTTTGTTTTCTCTAGTCTTTCTAGTCTCTCCCAAATTTGCTTTAAAAAATTCTTTATGCATGGCTTATTTTCTTGTTTTTGTGTCTTGGCTTTTTCTGTTTCTTTTTCACGATCCTTTTCTTTTCTATTTTTTGTACTTGTGCCTCTTTCTTGATTTCTTTTGTATTGATTTCAGAGTTTGTTTCTTTCTTTTAGTAAGGTACCTTCATAGTTTACACCACTTCTGTACCTATTTTTGTCTGAGTAAGTTCTATTTTTTTATCTTTCTTTGTTGCTTTTATTCTCTTCTTTATCTGAGGTCTGGCTAAGTCTGTTCTAACTTCTTTTTCTTTTTACTTTACAGTTTTTTCTTTTCTCACTTTTATTTTCTTTTCAATAATCTAATAACTCTGAAGTTGTTATATAAAATTGGTTTTGTTTGAGCTGCATTCATATCTTTTTCTGTTGCAAACATTACTATTGCTGTTCTTTTTTGATTTCTATTCCTATTTAGAGAGATGTAAACTGACTTAGCACTTTTACTTCTTAGACATTATAGTAGTAAGACTTCTGAAGTGTTTCTGGATAGTTTAGTTAACTTTGTCATATATTTCCTCTGTTTTTCTTTTGCTTCATGGTTTTTTTCTTCTCTAGTTACTCATACTAGTTTATTATTGTTAACTGGTATGGCCTATGGGATGTCTTCTTTTTTGTCTTTTTTTATCTGCATAATTGCAAGTGCCTTGTATTTTGATTTTTTGATTCTTATTATTTAGACATTTTTGAATCTTCTGCAGATATATTCTAGCTTTCTTCTATTGATGCCTGTTGGCAAGTCCCATATTGTTATATATGCTTTGTCACTAGATTTCTCATTTAACTTGTAGTTATTTATATCATCCTCTGTCTTATTTTCTTCTTTGTCATGTGTCTCTTTTTTCTTTTTCATTGTGCTATTTCTTCTTCTGCAGAATTCTTTCTTGTATAATCTTTGTTTTCCTTTTATGCCTTTCTGTTTTTCTGGTATTAGTTTATACTAATCTCCTTCTTTTTTGCTAATTCTTTAAATTGCTTTATTTCTGCCATATTCACAATCGAAGTCTATCTCTATTCACAAGTTACCTTTTTTGAAGACTTCTTTAATGGTTTTAATATATTTATTGTTCTTTAGTGACTATTTGATAAATTTTGTATATTCTTTTTTTATTGTTTCTAACACATTATGTGCTAGTATGTTGGCAAGTAGACTGTTATTTTGGTTGCAATTCCTTTTGTTTGGTGCCTACATGCTCTTCTCTAGTAGTTCTCCTACTATATCAATTTCTCTTTCGAAATCTTGTTTTATTTCATGTTATGCTTCTGCCTTTTCTATTGCTATGCTATGTTTTGATTCTATTCAATTTGCATTTATATTCATTTTCTTTATGATTTCTTCTTGTTGAACTGCTAAGTTAAGCTTTTGTATTTCTCTTTCATACTGTCTGCCTTCTTTTATATTTACTTCTAATATTGGCTCTTGTCTAGTTTTTTGAACTAATTCTAATTTTGTTGATTGAAGTTGCTTTTTTGATATGTCATCTGTTGGTTCTAAGACTGGTTCTATTATTATTGCATGATTACTTTGTTCTACTATACTTAGCTTTTTTGCTAGCTACTCTATTTCTGCTTTTCTTATTAACTCTCTTGTTAATCTCAGTAGTGCAACCTTATTTGAATTCTGTTCTGTTAGCATAGCAATAATTCTGTCTTCTCTATTAGGTGTAATATATGTTTTACCTGCTTGATTAAAGAATACCCTATTGTGCACACTATTAATGACCCAGTATGCTTTTTAAATATATGTTGTTATTAGACTGTCACTACGTTTTTCTAGTGCATTCATATCTTTGTTTTAATTTATGCATGTGTCTGCTTTGTTTTGTTTGCATGTGACTGGTTTGTTTGCTTATGTGACTAGTTTGTTTGCTTGTTTACATGTTTGTGTTCTCATGATCAAAACAGACTGCAATACAAGATTAGTACCAATTCTCTAAAATTTTGTCTATACGAATTTTAAAGAACAAATTTTTTGTTTTTTTTTGTTTTTTTTTTGTTAATCTACTTATTTTTTAGCTGCCTTTTTTTTTCTTATACCTTTTCTAAATACTCTTCTTTTTTATTTAGTCCTACCAGAGTGGTTCAGACAGCCATTTTTGTGTAAACTTGATTTTTGTTTTTTGTCAAGTTTGTGTTTGGGTAATTAGCAGGAAGAGTTCTGAATAATATGTAATCAAAAATTAATCTAATTTTTTTTATAAATATATTCTATAAATCTTTAAATATTAAATATATTTATTTAATTACAAGTTAATATGTAAAATTTTATGTAATTATATTTTAATTCAAATATATCAAGTTGGTGTATCATGCTTAATAAGATAACCAATATTATGAAATTGAGTTCATTATATCAGAGTTCATTGTAGAAAGGTATATCTAAGCTCTCTAACATGAGTATAAGGTTAACATTAAATATTTGACTGCTTTTTGTAAAATTTAACATATATGTATCAGGTAATAATTATTATCAATATCGATATTGATGTAAAAAGTTCAAATAACCAGCCAATTTATAGTGACCGAAACTTAGCGCTAGTAAAATTTGGTTAATTTGGTTACCAAAAATCGCATGACCTTATAATAATTTTGTTATAAAATGATCAACTTCGAAGATGACAATCAAGTATCTGATAATGACACTCTCCTTTAATTCCTTAAACACATTAAATGGTATTACTATAACACATTCTTTTTATCATTCACCGACAAGACAAATTCTCGCCTTAAATATAAAAACTTTCATTGCATCATATCACTGTTTAAAAGTTTCAAGCATATTACAAAAACCAAAAAGTACGAATACCAACTCTAGCAACACTTCGAATTCACAAATAAACTCGGTTACTACTTCCGATTCACTAACAAACTTGACCACTACATCAAATTCACAAAATATTACATCATCAACCAAGATAATATTAAATTTTGAGGAGGATCAACCTGTAAAAAAAGATGAAAATTCTAGAAAGCCAGCATCGATAAACACTATAATAAAAAGTTCATTTGTTAAAGAAAATGATATCCCATGGACTGGAGAAGAAGATTTAAAAGATACAGTTTTGAGAATGATTGTTGACAAATACCCTCCATTGAAAATCAAACGGGAATCTGTTAAAGATTATATTGATGCACATAGTTTCAAATCTCAACAAAATAGCACAACTAATTTATCAAATTCTTTAAGTAATCATTCGATAACAAACACTTCTATACTAAAATCAAAAGGTAGTGTACAGATTAAGAAGGAAAAGCTTGAAAAAATGCGAGAAAAGAATCAATCTCGCATAATAAATGCACGAGAAGCTGCAACTGACTATGCAATCAGTAAAAAATATGGTGATACTAATGAACAACAACAAGATATATTGCCAAAAAGTATTATGGCTTGGAATTCAATTGTTGAACAACGTATTCAAGAAGCAATTACAACAGGTAAATTTAAGAATTTGCAGTATCACGGGAAACCATTACCTTTGGATGAGAACGAAAAGGTAGTTATTATTCAATTGTTTATATTGGAAATATTGTGATTAATTTTTATTATCTATACATCAATTCTAATTGTTACTATTATTGTTAAATCTAGAACCCATATCTGGATCGCACTGAATTCTTGATGTAGGTTAAAAAAAAAAAGATTTAATTATTTAAACTTTGTATATCAAGAATTTGGTTTTGTAAAAAAAGAGACTCTTTCCTAACTAAAAACTCGATTACATTTATAGGAACCGACTTGTTCAGAGGCAAGGTGCCACACCAGCATGGATAGAATCTCAAAAAGATGTTGAACGAGAAATATCATTGTTCAGACAAAGAATGTTAGAAAGTTGGATGCGTTATGCCAATTCTCACAATATCTCTTTGCAACTTCGAAACTCAGGATGGGAAAAAATGCAATATTCTTATTATGAGAAAGCTATCGGAAAATTGAACAGTAAATTAAGATCATATAATGTTATTGCGCCATATTCAGTTCGAAAGTGTTATCTAAATTTAGATGATGAATATGAGAAAATATTAAAAAAGAAGATACTAAAAGTATAAATATAATTAATGATGGGATGAGATTTGATGAGTGGTTGAATGAAGATGAAGAGAAGGAAAATAAGAATGATGAGAATAATATTTGGAAAGGGTTCACTAAAAATATTAAATGGTTAATTGGACGTTAAATATTTATTATTTACTTAATATAGTGTAAAGTCATGCAAAAAATAATTTCTTGGCTTTTATAACAAAAATTTTTAAAATAGACCTGATAATTCGACTTTAATTTTGAATTTTATTAGTAATATATATTTTTTAAAAAGCCCACTGGACATTATACACGTAAAAAAAACAAAAAAATTGTTCTGAGAAACAAACTGCAGGGATATGAAAACCAAAAAAATTATATTCGTATAGCCTTTTTTTCATTGAACTATATGGATTTGTAGCCTTTAATTTTAATTTTTCCAATTGCAATAATTAATTGTTAACCTGAATGGTGAATTTAAAATTATAAATTTAGCTTGTGTCTACGCATTTATCAGAAAACATTAAATGTGAGAAACCAGCGTGTGGTTGAGCCAAATTAGGAACAAAATTTTTAACATAATTCGCTATTAGCGCCCAGCATTTAGCCTAACACGAAAAAAAAAAACCATTTTAGCGTTATATGTCCCACATTACACTCTATCCTCCTGTTTGTGAATGAAATTAATAATTCAATGAATGGATCTGTTAATACGACACTCACTAAACTTCCATGTAGAAATAACATGTACATAATGTTGTAAACTTACAACTTACATAATAACTTACATGAACATATGAAATTGCTTGTACGTAAGTTACATCAAAAATTTGAAGTTTACAACCTATCACTATATGTAGATTTATCATTATATCGGGCGATTCTTATGTTCTATTAAGTTACGGCCTGAATTAAGCTTAATTTTGGCCAAAATTTGAACTACACCCAAACTGTTTAGAGATTTTATGATTTTAAGAACTTTTGAAATTCAAAAAGAATGCAATTTAAAAAAGCTAAATGAAAAAAGTAAATAACCTAGGTTTATTGAAATTTCTGTTCATGGTCTTTAAATTTGAACTTACACTGACCTGGCCAAAATTATGTTTATCTGACGCTTGACGCCAAGATTATAAATCTGAATGATGGCCCGAATTAAGTTTAATAATTTAAGCCGTCGGCATATTATATAAGCATTACATATAACAGTAGTATTTTAGATCTCAACACTACAAACTTGTAGCATTCTAAATCATGTTATTCAATTAATGCCAATCCGTAGTGTAAAGAAACAAAGGTAGACACCATATGACTGTTAAATAACGAGCATGTGCGTTATTTCAAATAATGGCCGAATTATAATTCAGGCTGTAAATCGAAATTACAGTCTAGTCGGTTAACTTTAGAAGTTTATGATAGGTTTTAATAGCGATAACAATAAAAGGGTATCGTTATTAAAAAGTTTTTAATTAACGATCTCATGATAACGTTCGGTATAAACCTTTTGTTTGTTATTGATAATGTGATCTTTGCCTCCGAGACAATTCATAAAATCATACGATTCAATGATTAATGTCAGTAAAAATGATAGTTCTGCACTACCATTAGGGTGACTGGTATACTAGCAATAAAGCACGCTACTAGTAATAAAGCTCTACTAGAAATAAAGCACGCCACACTGCATGCCAAAAACCAATTTGGAATACCAAAATCTTTATGGTAATATACGTATATAGTAAATGTATTATGGTCTACTAGTGGCATGCAATGAGGGGATTTTGACAACCTTAACTACCACGCCTTTCTTCCAGCATGACGTATTTGTTGCTTCACCATGTGACTATTTTACTATTCACATGAAGTCTTTTAAATTTTAATTGGGACCATCTGAGTAGGTAACCTTGTAAATAGTGTTTTTAGCGACCATTATTTATCGACTTGACTAAGTCAATATTTAAAAAATTTAGCCGGCTGAGTCAAAGTCGGTTAACCTTCGGAAGTTATCTTAAATTTTCCTCATGTTTTGTTTTAACCTTGCTCGTATTTTATGTTCGTTAAATTTCTTTTCGGAACTTTTTGAAAAGTAAACCACCGAATAGAATGATTTGGCCTAAATTCGATCTGTTATTATATAATCTATCATAAAATCGACTATGTAAAATTTTCCAAGCTCGTAAAACTAAAGTAAATAAAATTGCATTTATATGCGTCGTACCTGAAGTCACACCTGCTTGAATTGTTAAACTCATACAAGAACTAATTTTAATTTCAACTTCAAAATCAATAACAAGCAGAATTAACTTGTGTTAAGATACTCTATTGTCTTTGAATGATTGAGAATGAACAAGAGTATTAGCTTCATAATGCAAATCAGGTGTTTCAAGTCGGTTTAGAATTATATGACCTATTTAGGTGGTTGTTTAGTTGATAAGTAATTAAAAAGATGCAGGTGAAATTTAATTTCATCAGCATCTTAATTATTAGCTTAGACCTCTAATAAAGTTGTAGAAGTAATCACTATAATTCTAATGGTGAATTAATCCAATAAACCATGAGATAGAGGCATTTTTTAGATTTGTAAATTTAAATATATAATTGAATGGTTTTATGAACACGTGAATGATGCCATCTACAAGCACTAAACAAGTATGCGCATTCATTGATATTATACGCGAATAAGGAAACCAGAAATTGTCAATTACATAATTATATATATTTTTAAAATTTAAAAATTCGTAATAACCCATTTCTGTTATTGTATTAAATTAAAAGCTTTAAAATTTCCCATGGGTCGATGGCTAGTGGATTCCAATCACAAGGTCGCCGGTTCGAGTCATACTTGGATCCTACAGAAAACGTGTTTTACGATAAATAAGGATACCTCCGTCGAAATTCCGGTCGAAAATCAAGATACTACTGGTGAAATTCCAGTTGCAATTAGGAGATTATCACATGAGGATGGAATCCGCGGATTTCACTCTAACCCGATCTACAAACCGGATTTCACTATTTCGCAACTCAGGTTTCACCCTGTTCTATTATAATTGTTAAAAATATATGTAGGGGTCTTGCAAATTTAGAAGGGTTTAGAAAAATAGTTTTTTTTATAATCATTTTTATTAACTCTACAACGTATCACGTGACCGAGATAGATTTGGTTTCTGGTTTTAATAATATAAAACTATTAACAAATGTATACTTCGTTATTTACTTATTAGTTATATGTATATAAAACAATATGAAGAACGTGCGTTTACTCTATAAAAAAGTGGTATAGTGTATAGCAGCACGGTTGGTATTGAATGGCGCGTGCAGTCGGCAAGTTTTATGACGGAAATAATATGTTTATTCAGAGTGTCACAAAACTAGGGTTGATACGTAAATGGCACGTTAAAAGCACGAGAAAGATTTGTAATTTACATATAATTACTCGCGCCAATTGGACTAATAAATCATCATAAAACCCGAGTTATTTGCGGTCCAACCAACTCGAATTTTTTTTTTACGTACAATCCCAATTTCAATCGGCGTCACAAAAACCCGAACCATTACGACGCCAACTTGTGCTATTACATTTTTCTTATAGGGTTAAGAGCATTCAAGAAGGAAATATTTAAAGTAGTAGGTTTATTTATAAACAGATTGTACCTAAATATTTAACTAATGACTAAATAAGTTATAGCATAATTTGTAATTAACAAAAATGCTTATGTTTGTCGAAAATTTTTAAGTTCAATTAATAATTAAAAAATTTACATTATACCAATCATGCAAATCACTAAATAGAAAACATATAATTTATAATTCATAATTCTAGTGCTTATCAATCATAAGATTTTTTTTTTTTGGTTGTAAAATATCGTGTAACTTGGAAGGTAATCTACCAGAATTAAGATATACATGTACGCCAAGCACCATTGACCATAATTCTTAGTTTATAACTGAATTTCGAAACTTTTTTTCATATATATAAAAAGAAATTACAATTATATACTTTACATCATTACTTTTTTTTTTTTTTAGACGATTAAAATAAAGATAAATGGTCCGATGTGCGCACGTACATAAGTATGTGATCAAACAATTTGTCAATAAACAATTGATAATTAATCCAATTTTAGATTGTACTGATAAACTGCGACAAGTTTAAACTATAGTAATAGTATTATGCTTAAATTAAGTATTTATTATACTAAAATGACGAATATTGGTATATTTTTTCGTCAAACATTAACCACAATTGTGATTTATATAATATGTATAAATTTTTTGTCAAATGAAATTATTATCGGCAATTCGAACAATAAATAAATTAGGTTAAAATTTATGTAAATAAGCGCAAGGTAACACACAATTACATCATTTACAATCAAGGATGGATAGATTATTATTATTAAATTTTGAAAGATTACTTCCATAAACAAGTTCGGTAATTTTCATCGAAAATTCCATTCGGATATTGTTAAATTACCTAAAGATGAAGTTACTCGAATAAATTATTATATGCTTCGGTAACCATGTAGTAGTAAATTCAACTCGGGACCAATTCTTAAGTTAGAGTAATCATGTAATTAACAGGGTTTGTGTATATTAGGATTAATTTCAGTTTGTCACTCAATTAATTATATTATTATTGTTTATTACCAATGCATTTAAATAGTACGTAACATGATCCACTTCTCGATCCTTTTTAAAAAAGGGATTTGTACTAAGAGAATTATTTATTAGGAGAAAGCGTTTCGAAATGTTATTGGTCATGTACACCACAAACTCGGTTTAGCATTGATGTATGCTCCGGTACTCATTTAAAATCTACGCTTTGTTTACTTGCATGATTCTGTCATTCTGGATCACTTCTTTCTTTAATATTAAATCTTTTTTGTTGGGGCATGAAACCTCACGTGAGAAATCGAATATTTTTCAGGAAATGATGATTAAATAAATATGTCAACTTAGTCAGTTGTAAAACATTATTGTATTGATAATTGTAGGACAGTCAGTTATTCTTTGGGTAAGTATCATATGTAAGACAATTGAATTAGAAAACGCCAATACTTTCATGAAAGTAAATGGGACAGTTTCAAAAAATAATACGTATGATCTTTTGAATGTAGGCGTGTGAAGCATAAACAAGTGCGTATGTATATATTGTATGTGTATGTTGACTCCTGAGGTTAGAATGTTGTGTCAATGCTATGAAACTTAATGTTGTGTTGCGTTAATGCTAGGAGATTTTAAATGAATTTTGCTTTTGACTATTTATAAAGTTTCAAACATAAATTTACAAATCCGGAAATTTTTACAATATATATTTACTCTAAACTCACTATTCGCTCTCTAAAATTTCGTAATTAAACACGAGTGATAAAAAGTTATTTGAAACGTTACAACAACAAAGCTTGTATTACTTGACACATTTTGTATCACTGCATATAAATATAAATATAAATAAATAAACATAAAACACCCTGTTCAATTGTATGAATCGTTAAAAAGCACATGCGTGATGTATATAGGTGCATATAGGATAAATAAAAGGGCGATAAATGTGTAACGATACGGTACTAGAAATTTGTTTAGTCAAAAGTTCTTGTAAATCAATGTCTATTTTGATTTATAATGAGAGTAAAGATGTGCTTTTTTAGGAATAAAAGGTCGACATAAAAGAGTTTATTTTGTTTATAAAAAAATGATTTTATGTTTTGTAAGTTATTTATATTTACAAATTCTTCAACCTTAATCTATGTCATAAAATTTCGAACTCTTGAGCTTTTGAGCTTTGTAAGTTGTTAAACTCAAAAGGCAGTTTTTACTCGGTTTATTCACTTAAGCATATTCATTTTTTTCAATAACCACTCTTTAAGCAACTTATTAACATTTAATAACTTAATTTAATTTAACGTAAAATAACGTTTATTTTGTGTTGATTTGAAAACTAAAGCACCAATAGCGGATAGTGAGCACCTAATTGCTGCATGTATGTACACTAAAAAAGATCTGTTATGTAATATATATCGTTCATAACCGAAGATATCATCGACACTCCCGCCAAACGTTAGCCAAATAACGGTGACAAACGAAGTGTACGACCAACAGTTACCCGATTTATCTTGTTATTTAGACCACAGCACATAGCATCTTTTATCTCTGTGCATTGATTTATTATATAATTATATAAATCACTACCAAAAATGAAAAAATGAGATTATTATATGTTTTTTTAATGCAGATATGATAATCCGAGATCTCATCCAACAAAATCATTGGTGTTTATATACTTTGTTATTATAGAGATTTATACGTAGAATCATCAAGATTTTGTGCGATCCATAGATCATCTTTTTTTTTAAAAAAAACAGGTAATCACAAAAAACTGTTTTATTATCTTCATTCAACTAATGATTGTGTAACTAGAATAAATAAATAATCATATATAATCATAAATTTAATATTTTATACAACCATACACAAATTTGACGCGTGAAATGGATCTATTAAAACTCATTGCTTATAAATGACCTTCTCGTGATATAAATAATATATAATAAATAATATATGGGCTTTATCATTTCTGATTGGTTCAATTTAATATCATCAAGAAAAAAAGCATTGACTTATGTGATTATTGTCTTCAAAGTGTCTCGAATGTATTACATAGGTATTAATACTTGGAATCATTCAAAGATGCAAGTTATTCTAAGATGCACACTAAATTCTTATTATACCTGGTGTTACTTAAGGTAGACGTGTATCTGGCAAATTATCCTATTGGTAATATTATGAATGGAAAGTTTCGTACTATTATAAATCGAAATCGAACAGGTATCGATATGTAGTAGAGTATGATCTACATTATGGGGATAACAAAGGTTTCTTTCGAAAAAAGTCAGGACAAAAGCATGTGACTATCAAACAGATCTTTATTTACCCTTTTTTTTTATAAGGTTTTATTGATTTCTTTAAAACTTTGATTGGTTCCGTTCACGTATGTGAAAGTCGCCGCTTCTTTTTAAAGAAATATTTATAATACTAACGCCTTTTGTAAACAATCGAATCCCTAAATGTATATTATAAAAGATATTCTGTGTACAGGTACAATTCTACGTATAAAGATTCCTTCTGAATTCGGAAATAAATTTAAACTTTTTGAAACGCCCGTTTATAATTGTGTTAGTTCTAACTTCTTACCGTTAATGTTTTGTTATGGAAAAAAAGAAAAAAGAAAAGGAAGTATATATTTGTATTAATTATTTAATTTAACCTTTTGAATGATACATATACAAGAAAATCTCGTCAAAAGATCCGATTGGATTGATATACCGTCTTAAACAAAGGAGGCTCGCAACAAATAAAGTTGAAAAGTATGCCACAGTTTATATCTCACTATGAAATTATTTTTAGGCTTATTCATCCTTGAATTTTACTAACTCTAATGTATAACTATAGTGAATACAAAATCATAACAATCGTACAAGCATGTATGTCAATTATACTTGAATTCACTTTTTTTGACATTTGAGATCAACAAACAAAAAGAATTAATAAATCCTTACTTAGTCAAATTTCTTTTATTATGTTGGCTTTCAATACCTTATTCTATTAAAATAAATTTACCGTACGTACGTAGTGCACTGATTAGTAACCAAAGGCCTAAACTAAAAATAAATATATGTATATCGTATGTAAAGTAAAAGCTCTTATTGTAAAATTCAAAATGCATACATAGTTTGCATCTATTATAAACAGGTTACTTTTTTAAAAAAACGTTGCCATGTGAATATTGAAAGAGTCTTTGGCAGATTACAATAACAAAAAAAACTAGATTCGATATATTTTAAATACGTAATTTTTAGATTAATGATTTAATAATTAAACTCTTAGGTTTAAATTTTTAATCCAAAATTTATAATTCTAACTTTACTAAAAACGATATTAAAATCTTTGTGTTTAAAAATCAAAACTATAAAATACTAAAGCAGGCTTACAAAATTAAAATATTAAATAATAATTTTATAAAAAAAATTCAATACTATATACAATATAATATATATATAATAGTATCACGTATAAAAAACAATTGTATATTATAAAAGTTTATATAATTGATTTATAGTTTTTAATAAAAATTAGTATTGTTATACAATATATATAATATATATATATATTTAAACTGTTTTGTTTTTATTTTATACAACAAAATGTTTTATATTTTGATATAAAAATATTTAACCTAATATTTTTCAATATATAACAAAGTTTTACTAGTTTTAACAAATAATAACTTATTTAGATATTCTATATAGTTTTATAATTCTGCAATTAATTTAAATATAAAGATTTGTTTTTAAAAGTTATATTAAAAATTATATTTTATAATAAAATATAAAATCTAAATAATACTTCTATATACTTTATACTTTTATAACAAAAGTAAGCTAACAATAAAAATTAAGTTAAATTATAATTAAATTAAAATAAAACTAAAATTAAAGTAAATTATAAGAAAAAATATTTTTGTTTATATTATACAATAAAGTTAACTAATTAAAATTTTAAAATATTAACAATTAAAATAATTTATATGTTATTTAAATAATATTGTTACATTTGATACTAATTATAAAATCAGATATAATATAAAATATAAAATTAAACCTTAACATTTAATATATATATATATATATATATATATAATTAGTAAAATTAAACTATTTTGGGGTGTGGTGACCTAGTAAAGTGGTCAGGTTGTCAATTCTTCAAGTGGTAGGTTGGGTGTTCAAATCTCATCGATGGTAAAAATTTGGATAATCACCTATGTAATATTCATATTATGGCAACTGTTACTAACAATTGGATTAGGATACCTGTAATAGTAGTTGCACCAGCATGACTGGCAGGTCATGGGGCATCTGTGCAATGTTAAAGTTATATAGAGAAATGCAAACTGGCATATTGGGCAGTACAAACACTAGATAAGTTCTTGTAGCTATGTAAATTCATTAAAATTAGATAACAAGAAGTCTATTTAGGAAGACCCAAATAAAGAGGTAACTGGATCTTTGATGGCCTTACTGTAAAGGCTAGCTCAGCAAAACAGATACCAAGGTCTAGTACCTGGTTCTAGTAACCAGACGGGCAAGAATCTTCAGGTTGGGAGTTTCAGAGATACTACCAACTAGGCTATTAGAATAAACTAAAAGAAAAGAATATCAGGCCAACTTGATATACTGATGAATTGGAAGTAGTCCTACACAAGCTATCTGGATTGAAAGTTTGGTAAAAGGGCAGAGGAAAAGGCAGTGATATACTAAAGTACTGGGGTTATGCTGTGAAGTAGATACTAGGATCTAAGTAAACTCTATAAGGGCATAGCAGTTCAATGGTTAGCCCTAACTGCAAGTATTGATTCTGCTATAGTGATATCTAGATTAGCTGTAAAAATAGATACAGAAGGCTTTAGAGAGTTTACCTTGAGAATAAATTAGTTCTAAGGTTAAAGACAATGATCTGGGTAT